CGGGTGCGTGATGCGAACCGCGGTCGACTACGTGGGAGTCCAGTGACATAGCCATTACGCTAACTGCTGGTCCCATCATTTACTTTAATTCTAATTCTCATGATTACTGAGGCAGGTAGGGAGACCTTGTTTTCCATGAACTTTTTTTTTTTCTTTGAGAGATTTTTGCTATAAGTTGTATGGGATCCCTGGAGAGACAGAGAGAGAGAAAGAGAGAAATCACCCTCCCCCCCCCCCATCCCCAGGGAGGGATAGCCATGCTGCAATCTCTTCTCCATCTTCTCCCGGGATCTTGGGCACGCACACGCACCCAGCATTAGTTTCAAACCGCTGGGTCTGGGGCTTGAACCATGGTGGGCCATGTGGGAATCCAGCATCTTAACCACTATGCCACCTGCTGGCCCCCAACTGTTTTTGAAGTTTATTCCATGAGGGAGAGATACAGCATCCCAACGGAGTCCCAAGGGATGATCCACCCCAGCCTCCTCCGCCTGTCGGGCTCATGGGGTGTATGTGCTGCTCTGTGCACGTGGGAGAGCTCGGGCTCCCCCTGCAAACTCCCCCTTGGGTCTGCGGGACAGAACTCACCTTCGAGCTGCACTACTGACCACCCCCCCACCACCACCACCATGAACTTTCTGAGGGCTCTTCCCTTGCTGTCCTCATTGGGTGAGTCAGGGCAGAATTCGCACTCAAATCTACAGCGCTGCGGCTGCCCAGGGAGTGGTGTGGTTGACGGGCAGGTCGTGTGTTCTCAGCACAGAGCACCTCAGGGATCCCTTGTTCCAAATGGCAGAGGTCTTGGAAGCCCTAGAGCGGCCAAAGCCCTTCTCTCTGCATATGGGAGCCCTGGTGTCTGAGGGTCCCGCCTGGGCCACTTGGTTAGTGGTTGTGTGAAGGTGGGAGTGTCTCCTCTCTGAACTCGGTTCTGCTGAGTCAAGCCAGGGCCAGTGGTGTGGAGGGAGCTGCTGTTGTTACAGTAACACGGATATAATGGGAAAGAAATCACCCCCGAGGGCTTGGCCACGCTGTAGTCCCCTTTCTTCCATTTTCCTCTTGGGATTTTGGGCATGCATACGCACGCATCGGGCATGATTTCCAAGCTGCCGGGTCTGGGACTCAAACTGCACAAGCAGCCTGTGGGATCCAGACACCTTGACCTTCACATCCCCTGCTGGCCCAGGACCAGCAGTTAGTGTACTGGCTATGTCACTGGACTCCCATGTAGTCGATCATGGTTCGAGTCCTGGACCCGGTGGCTTAAACTCACGCCGGGCGCGTGTGTGTGCGTGCCCAAGATCCCAAGAGGAGAATGGAGGAGAAGGGATTGCGGCGTGGCCATCCCCCCGAGGGATG